AACATGATCCATTTTGACATTAATACTTTTGGAAAAGGGGAATAAGTTGGTTGCATAAGACCTAACAGGTTTGTTAAATGATATAACCAACCCAGCCATTCAAACCCCTTGCAGCCAATTCTAATAGCTCACCTCATTTTCAATGTTTGAAGATGCATGCATGGTGCTTGAGATTGGGATGAAGTTGATGACACTGAGAAGCACATTTGCTACGCGATGCTTTTTGCCGCTCTTCTCCTCGATGGCAATGTCTTCACATGGGTATCAGTGGCTACGCATCATCCTTGGAATTGTATGGATCTGTAAGTCCTGTAAAAGCATACCTTTAAGTTCTATTGAATTTTTTCCTTTCATTTTCATCTTAGAATAGGGGTTCTGGGACAGAAGGTTGAAAAATTTTCGTAGAATGGGAAGAATGTCGACATCATAGAATGTCGAAGGGTACAATAGGAGAGTGTATAAAATGTTGAATTATGACATGGTGGGATGGAGAAAATGTCGAAAAACGTTGAATGTGCTTGTCTACAGCTAAGTCCATTCTTTTTCCAGAGTTAGCCTTTGTCTCTTGTTTAGTTCATGCCTTCCTCAGCAGTCAATTCTTTCAAGGAAATGCTTGAGAGCATGCCTGCAGGAACAGAACCTATCTCTGTGTGCTTCCAGGAGACGTTCATAGGTGAGTAGTGTCCCAAAGGCAGACCACAAAAGGAAGCAATGTCCCCTCCAAAATCGTGGGATGTGAGGAACAGAGTGCTCGGAGACATACCTCACACCAGTAACCACATTGAGGGATGGCACAACAAATTAGGGAACAGTTTGATTTGCCAACACCATCCAACTATATTCCATTTCCTCTACGTCATTGCTGAGGAGCAGTTCAGCAGTGACTGATTGAGCTGGAAATGGGTTAAATACCATGAAACGAAAGAAATTTGCCATTACCAGAGATATAAACCTAAAGAAGACAACAGAAGAGTGTGGTTTGAGGCCTTTGCTCGATTTCTTGAGAGGTTTAGCCTTCCTAATCAAGTTTTGAAGCAATATGACATTTGACTAGCCCTCCGACTCCAAGTCTTGATGTGGCCATCGACTCTAAAAGTGTTTTTCAACGTTTTTTCCATTCTATGATTTTGCCCTTCGTCATTTTTGTCTTTGACCATAAGGACGTTTGACGTTTGTGATCATTCAACAAAAATGAATTCAACATAATTGCATTCGACCATTCGAGAGGATACCATAATAGGATGCATGTGTTCACTCATTAGGATGTATAGTTGACATGCATATTCTAGAAACTCGATAACTGTGGAATGACAAGAAGTGTTCATATGTAGAAGTGATAGTAAAACTGGTAAAGTTAGAGTTTATTATAGTTCATTCTCTAGTAAAGTCATAATTATTGATGAAATTGATTTTTGTGCATTATTGTTATTTGGTACTTTATTGGACATGAGGAATTTTTAAATATAAAATTTCCCATAAACATAATCAAATGCTAGAAAATAAGATTTTTAGTTCATGGGGTTTTAAGGTGAAGCATACAAATGGGACAAAGATTTCCTATACAGATGTTCCTAATGAGGTAAGTGCCTTAAGTGATGCTATTTTCTTTTGGGAGTGCCATCATTTTACTTCTTGATGTGTTTTATGTATGACTTGTAAAATGTAAGTAAGACTTTTCCATTGCAAAGTTCTTTCCTTTTCATGGGAATTCTCTGATTCTCTTTCAGCTTTTATCAATATACTTGAATTGATTTTGTAGGTTTGCCCTGCTTGGTGTGTGGCATTTTCTTCAGGACTTTCAGCATCTTGTTCTGCATGACACTGTGGTGGGATTTCTTGGTGGATATGGCTGCATGGACTAACCATGGCTACTTGTTCTGTCTCCTGGCCACCTTCTTTGCATGCTCTCACTCCCATGCAGCTCTGTGAGATCTTATGCAACATTGCATTTCTGCCTTCATGTCTTGGCTAGTTTTTAGCCTGCGTAATTTATTGAGCAGATGTTGGTTCATGAAAGAACAGTGGCTAAAGCCGATAGAAATCATGCCTCAACATTTATCCAAGAAGGTGTGTTTTTTTCTGAAAAGTCTTGAGTATAACTATTTCTTTGCTATTGCCATTTTAATCAGGCATGGCACTTAGCTGTTACAGGACAAAGTTGTCACATTTAAAACCAAATATATTTTCCATGAATCCTGACTATCAACCATGTTCCATCTATTTATGAAGCTAATTGCTATATCAATTAAAATAATGCCAGCACAGAAATTGGGAATCATATGAGGCATATTTGGGCATTCCCCTTTTGCTGATACATTCAATAGCAAACTGTGTGTAGATGCCTTGCTTTTCATTGCATGTACTAGTTTAGTGTTTATGAAGTGAATTGAAAACAGTTGAAAAGTTAATCCAATTTGCATGTTAAAAATGGAACATTTTTAAAAGTGTATCCTCAAAATGTGACAAACATTTGCTTTTGACAAGAGCATGGCTGCATGCATGCATGTTCTGTGGATGTGTCTCATGGCATGGGGTATATTCTTGGAGAATTTTATATAAGTTGGCTATTCATAGCAAACATAACAATTCAGGTAGTCCAGGATGGTAAGTCAAAGTTGAGTGAAAACAGGTTGATTGCAATTAATTTGAGAGCTTAAAAGCAATAGGAAAAAATATATATGACCTGAGCATGTCAAAGTAACAATATTCTTTATTTTGATATAGTGGAATGCCAAGGGAGTAAGGTCTGGAACTTCATGAGCACATCTAATGTTTCTTATGTTGAATCTTCAATTCGCCTGGCATTTTGTGAGAAATACTTGTTGAATAGCATTATGTATGATAGAATTCAGATTCAAAACCAAGCAGAACTGCATCCCAGCCCTAGCCATTTAATATATTTTTTATTTGAATCATTCTCAAAGAGATCCTTATGCATCAAATCACAAGAAATGAAAATTGAGTTGAGCCCCTCTGATTTTAATGGAAATTTTGTGGGGTTGTAGGGTCCATTGAGAAATTTCCCAGCATCACATTTTAACTCCCTAGGTTCTTGAAGTACCATGATTTGAATATTGCCAATGGTGTTGATTTCTGGTCTGGTGGTCAATATTTTATTGCTCTCAAGTTTTGTCCAAGATGAACTTGGTATCATTTTAAAGCTCTGTTAATGCCCTTGAACCCAGAGTTTCATGGAATTCAAATAAAGGTGAAAAGGTCTGATATTTGATCTTTAATTTTTGTGAAGTTTTCACTTTTATTTTTTGTCCAAAAAAATTTTAAGTGATGTTCTAAAAAATTTCCTCCTCTAATACATCAATTCTTAATTTGCTATGGGATCAAAAAGAATAAACAATAATGTGGCATGAAGTGACAAAAATAAGTCAAGAATGTTCTTAAATTATAATATCTCTAATGAAATATAATAAAAAATTTGTATCAAATTCATATATTACGCAACTATGCATTACATATATTCCTTGGCAAAAAAAAAGCAAAACCAAGAAAGAGTTCAGCAATCTCGATGGAATTAGATACACTAGCTCATACTAACATACTATGAAATTGATTAGAATTTCAAGAGTATGGGATGGATATTAATGGAAAAAAAACATTCCTATTAGTCAAATTTCAATAGCAGCTATGGGTTATACTGATTGCCCAAAATGGTTACCTAGACGATTTTTACTGACAAAACATGGTAGGAAAACTCCTAAAGATGTGCAGAAAAATCTAGCAAAGTTTCAAGATCTTGAGAAGAAGTAATTAGGAGAAAACTTGCTAAATGCCAGAAAAATTGGGGAGAAGGGCAGTGCCATTGAAGGAACCAGTTTTTTTCTTTCTTTCCCTCAAGATACTTCCCTATAGGGCCATTTTGAAGTTTCAACTGTGAGACAGTGCTAAGATGAGATCCTGTGCTGGTTGTTTTCAATCTGGAAAAAATAACTAACAGTTTCAAGTATCCTTTAGTCATTTATAAGCCCAGGAACTTCTTTCTGCTTTAAATTTCTAACTTGTCACAGAATATTTATCATAAGATCATAATTTCAATTTAAAATATGGGCTTCCTGAAAATAATCAAATTTGAAGTGAAAGAAGACAATTTATGATACCCACCAAATATAGTGAGATTTGATGAAAGTTGTCTTGTGAGACAGTGGCTCAACATCATTGGTATTTTTTTTCCATACCCTGTAAAGTTGTTAGCTTATAATGAACAGTTTGCTCAAATGTTAGTAAATCAGATATGTGAAGTGGGTGGTGAGAAGTTCCTGATATTGTATATGATAATATTTCATTAACATCATTATTGAACTTGGTGTTGATATTAACTGATTTTGGTATAGTGTTCATCACTTTTTTCAGATTTCAGTACAATGATAGCATACTATATCACTCAATGAAGTGTGGTCCCACATCTAATAAAGGCCATGAATAAATCAGGAAGGATGGATGCCCTGAATGAAGACATACTTGCTTCAGAAAGGACACCTCAGACATGTTTGAAACTTATTCCACATCATGCCTGAGGGAAACATTCTTTTGGATAAGATTAGATAGAAGTTTTAAAGAAACTATTTTGTGGCTTTACCATTTTGTGACTATTGCCAATGTTGTATCGGTTCTGAAACTTTCTCTGGTGGACAGAAGAGGCCCAGATTTCAGTAGGTAGTCCCACTGGAGAAACTTGTGATTCCAGTGTGATCCATAATGTTAAACTTTGTAGATAGTGCATTATTATGAAAATCATCATTAATCATTCACAAAAAGTATCATTATAAAATCACCATGATTGCTTAGATTTGCAGGCTTGGTTTTACCCTTAGGTGTGTGTTTTGTGTGCACGCAAATACTTGGTGTGCACCATGTAATCTGTGCATGGGTGGAGACCCTTCTTATCAGACTATTATGAATTCTTTGACCCCTGGAAGGGATCCTGTGAATACGATGAGCTATAATGGTGATGATGATTAATGATTGATTGTTCTTTTCTCTCATAGATCATTGGATTCCATGTTGGAGAATGAAGAAAAAAAGCGGTGGATTCCACGCTGGCAGTATGTCCTGTTCCAAGGACAGTTGTTTCTTGTCTACTTCATTGCTGGGCTGAAGAAATTTAATTGGGATTGGCTTGGTGGGGGTTCTGTGGACAAGATGACCATCAGTCCCATTCTTCAACTCCTCTGCTCATGGTGATTCTCTTTCTCACCAGTATCTCGATTCCATATTTTGGGGTATTGCAGGAATTAGCCCCTTGGAATAAGATGTACAGTGAATGTCAAAAGATTGATTGAAATATTGTATTCATGGCGATCAGTGAAGCCTCAGCATCTGTGACTCATTACAAGAAAGAGTTGAAAGCATTGAAGTACTATGCAGTATTCCTGACTTAATTTTTCATGTTGCTGAATAAGAAACCCAACCTGTTTGCATTCTACGGAGACATCCATTTACACCATTTTGACCTACAAGGCAAAATTCTGGAATTTCCCAGAAGTTAATGAGAGAGAAAAGGAATGGGAATTTCAAGAAGCTTATGAGTAATAGCCATGTACTGAAATTGCCACAATTGACTTAATCTTTGACATCCTATGCAGATAATCATAAATCTCAAAGGCACAGTAAATCTTAAAAATGTTAGGGAGTAGAAAATGTGGTAAAGAGATGGGAAAAAGTTAGTAAAAATGAAAATGAGCAGACATTATCAGCCACTGGGGAAAGGAAGTGGATGGGAATGCAAGGAAGCTGGAGGTTTTGTATAAAGGTACAAATTTGGATTGGAGAAATTATTCAGAGATGGACCTGTAAAATTTGGAAAAGCCAAGGATATTTAATCTCAGATACAGATATTGGGTTGGAAAGAAAGTCTTGCAACACTCTGCACAAATTTTTCACAATTTTATAACTTTATTGAAATGCAATTTCAGTCTACAATGTAATGACCATTGTTGTCTATGACATGTTCCCAACACGACGTAGAGGACCCAGCTCTCATCTCCAGTAATGATTTCCTTCAGAAGGTCCTTTCTGTGCGGATGAAGGAGCAGTGATTCGCAGACACTGACACGGCTTGCTTTGCCAGAGTCGCCGAGCCGATGAGGGACCCATGTCGAGTAAACCTTCCAATAGCTGAGGTCATTCAGATGGTTGCCGATGGCCATATGGGTGACTCCAAGTGTAGTCACCAATTTGCGAGTGGTGGCGTTTGGCTTCGCATTGAGGGCGTTCCTCAGGGCTTTGTCATCGACTATAGATTGACGCCCTGAGCGTGGTCGATCTCCAAAGGTCGTGTCGCAAGATTCGAAGCGTTTCAACCATCGAGACACTGTGGAATAGTGGACGACGTTGCCCTTGAATGCAGCGCAGATGTTGTCCACGGCGGCTCTCGCAGAGTGTCCTTGGAGGAACTTGTAGTAGACAATTGGGCAAAGAGTTGCTTGTTCGATTGGAGCCATGGCTGCCAACTAATGGCAGAAGCCGCCTTATATACCCTGAGGGCAGAAGCTTCGAGAACATTCCAGCATATACAAATGCAAAGCCTCGCCCATCATTCCTTTGAAAATTTTCATAAATAGTTTTAGAAAGTGTTGCAAGACTTTCTTTCCAACCCAATAATTTGGATCTTAGGAGAACCACAACTCTGTGGAAGAGTGCAATTTTTATTGTCTCACATACCTCTAAACCAGGGGTTGGGAACCTATGGCTCATGAGCCAAATTTGGGTCACAAGCCAACAATGTTTGGCTCATTGAGTCATGGCTGAAAATCATTGTGGTTCATTTTTTTCATGTGTCAAAGAATGCATGTTTGTTGCCAATTTCAGGAAAAATTATATTGTGAGAATCTTTCACTCACAAGCACTTAGCTCAATATTAATATGGCTCACACGGCCTAAAAGGTTCCCGACCCCTGCTCTAAACTGTTCATTTAGTGAAAGACAAGTACCAAATTTTTTCACATTTGTTTTTAATTTTTGTTCAAATTTCTTCCTTCTGAATGGATTTCATTGGAATTGCAAACCAGGTTGTTGACAGAGGAGCAGGTGAAAAGTTGGATCCTGAGACTTGGAGGGGTTGTGTTTGACACTCTTGTTGGCCCAATGTTGCTGTGGAAAAGGACTCGCACCCTGGCAATCCTCCTCTCAGCTATTTTCCATCTGAGCAATCACTTCACTTTTAACATTGGTATGTGGGTTGTGAACTGGGAGTGGCTCATGCAGTCACACTTTAGTTTTCATGCTCACATTCCTATGCCATTTTTTGTTTTTGTTACTTAGAAAGGGAGAAGGGTTTCAATAAGCAAATATGGGGCTGAAGCAAAAAGCAATAGATTAATTTATTGACTGTATATATGAGGGCTGTTCTTATAAAATACAGACAGGATGGAGAAGTCATCTGGATGAGGACTAAGCAGGTATGTTTATAACAATACCTATCGGTGTGTTAAATGAATAGCCCTCGTATATTTAGAATACTGGAGGCCCTAGGCCAGAGCTTCCCAACCTTTTTCTCGTGTGACCCCAAAAATCTTTACTGTAAACCGTTCAGGACCCCAAGCTCTGGCTGAAGTTCAACAGGCTCTCCCACCTATGCACTAACATTGCAATGAACAACATAACTTGAATTTTAGTTGCCAGTTTACAACCCCAAATATGATCTAGGAGACCCCAGATGAGGTTGGTTGTAACCAATGGGTTGAGAAGCCCTGCCCTAGGCATATGTCTTGCTCCTTTTGCCATATGCAGCTCACATTTACCTATGATTACTCACCTGTTGACATTAATGTAATCTCCCAGGCATTCCCATCAACCTTAGAGATCTTTGAGGGAAGGATGAAGACAAGGTGCAACAGGAGGTGCATGAAAAATAAACTCACCTACTATGCTTCAGTTGATTAGTAACTTTGTATGCAGGTCTTGTTTAATCTTCTAATTATATGTGCCACGGGTCTGAAAAACTACAATCTTATCACAAAATTGTATAGCTTCCATGCTGACTTTTTAGAACCGAGATGTATGGACATATTGAGGCAAGGACTGGTTGAAGCAAAGCAATAAGACCAGACTTGCAATGACATTATTTAGCATTACTTTTTCATGATTTCCATGCTGTTGTAATATGCAATATCTCCTGTAGCTTGCAGAGATCCTCATCCTACATGTAATGAGAAAGCAAGAGCATATAGTTGCATTTTAGCTCGCAATATGGGTAGATCTTTCATCTATGATCTAGATGAAGAAAAATTTCACCACCCAGCTTGCATTGGTGGTATGAAAAGGAGTATGCTTGAAAAACTCAATTTAATACAGGCCTTCTTTGAAGTAGTGTTGGGTATAAACAGAGAAGGATATGGCACAGCATGAAAATTCTTTAATTAGATACTGTGGGATGGGATGTGAAGTGGCTGGCATCAACAATGTAGTGATGCACAAATAAGAATGAGAGCATCAAGTTCATGTGTGACATGAACCTTATGAAGCAGAAACAAGGATAAACAGTACCTTTTATGCCTAAAAGTTCCAGGCTTGGTTACATTTGATGACTAAAAGATACCAATATTAAACTGCCATGTGTCCTCATTGAAAGCTTTCTTTTGGTATGGCTCTCATCTCTGTATCTTGATGTTGCCAAAAGTTATAAGGTTGGAAAGATCCATGATATCTGCAATATGGCAGACTTCAATAGCCCCTGAAAGCCTGTTACTTGGATATTATGCAGGTATTTTTGGATCCTGCTTTTCAGTAGTATATATGATAGTATGGAACATATAAGAAAAAGCTTGTTACAGTGGATTCTACTTTATTGGTGCACCTTTTTTCCAGGTCAATGTACTCCAATAATGCAAACTTACCCTCCATTACTTTATTGATTCCATTCATGAAAAAATGCCCCTATAAACCAGCTCCTCCCATTAATAAATGACCCAATGAAGTGGAATCCACTGTATCTAGTTGTAGCTATGATATGTATTCCCCCCTGTTGCCATCTGGGGGTCATTTACTTTTTTTACCTTGTTAGGCATGAGTGATAACAACTTTTCTAGATTTTGCAATAATTCATTATGGGATGTAACGCAATTTTGCATAGGCATATCTCCCTTGAACAAATATGGATCAGTAGAATTTCTTTTGAAAATATGTGGTAAAGCCACAGGAAATGTTGGGTGAGAAGTGAGAATGAAAGCTATATGCACAGAGGAGGGGAGAGTGGCATAAAGAGTTGACTGAAGGTTCACTTGCTTTGTGAGTTCCTTTCTGTTTCCTCTCAGCTCCAACAGCACAACATTCTGCCCAATTTTTTTTTTGGAAGGGTGAATGTGGGGAAGACATGGATTTCATATTCATTGCCCTGCCAAAGGTGGAGCTTGCTCCTGTCTTGCTTACATCCTTCTAGGAAGCTTTATGTCATGCTTATTCTTACAGAAAGTAGACAATCTGTATGATCTTGGACTGTGGTTACTTTGTTATATATTATGCAACAGTATCTGTAAACCATGCAAGACCTAAGAAATCTTATGGAAAGGATTGCAGAAACAAATGAATAAATCGTCACCTCAGTTTAATAAGGTTCTATCTGACATTTTAATGAGAAATGAGATAATGACATCCAAATAACCCGCATGGAGAGTTGATTCAGGAGAGAGAGAGAGAGAGAGGATTTTTTGTGAAATCCCTCAAGAAAGGCTAGAATTAACAATTCTTCAAGGTTCTATCTGCCCGGGTCTCAAACATTCAGTTCAACAAGGTTCTATCTACAGTTCTTGGACAATAGGTAAAGATAAAAATTTGGAGAAATTTGATTGGTTTATTATCCAGGGTAGGCGGTCCCCTATTGTCAGCCAATCAAATATCTTGTTGCAGCTAACACCATCCTATGAGATATTGCCTAACATCTAACTCATGTTCAAGCTGTAGATGCTGTATTTCAAGTGTGTTTCAATTGAAGGGTGAAAGGTAGAGTGGATTATTTGCAAAAAATAACTTCCGAAAAAAGTATACCTGGTTTAATGCTCATGTAACCTCTTTCCTTTCATAGAAAATGACTTTTTTTTGTAATTATTGTAAAAGATGAACTTATCTAATGATGCATACAATTTTCCTCACTCTTAACATGATGTTAATTTCACAGCAGAATCTCTGAATTCTCTTCTTTTGTCTCTTTTTCCTGTATTCTCCTTGCTGTTAACGGGAAGAATCGCATAAACACAATCAAGATGAGTCAAATGGACTCCAAAGACTAAAAGTCTGCCACCAAAAATCCCAATTTTAAAGTCATTCCATTTTGTTATGTCTGTCAGCTACGATTCACTCATAGATCTCCACTTGAAGTTAAGTTTAAGTTGTTTCATAGTGATGATGTATTTCACAAGGTCAGCATCTGCAATATACCAAATGCAAGGCAAGGTGCACATCTCTTTGAAAAACTGGCCAAAAATTTGTGTAAAATTTTGTCAGGGGAGTCTCAGCATAGGGAAGAAACTGAATATCAAAAGTATGTCTAAATGCCTAAAGTGGACAAGACGTACTACAATGACTTGTTGAATAGAATGTAAACCTGGCTGCATCAGATGATGTACTATGGCTCAGGATGAATATTGAAATAAAACATATTCATGTACAGGGTGGGCCAAAAGTTTTTGCCCCTGTATAAAAATGTGAATATCTCCTGACCGGTTTGGGCTACAGAGTCGAAAAAAAAACTAAAAGAAAGTTCATTTCATCTTCTTTCTGAAAATGTTTTGTTTTAGGTTCCTACATTCATTTGGAGATGAGT